GCTCAGTGCTGGTGAGAAGGAATATGTTGGCAATGAGGAGGAGTATCATCTCTCTTCCTCAAGAGGCAGAGTTCAGGAGTAGTGTGGAGCCAGTGTCGGTCACCTCATTGTTATTTGTAACTTCCTGGATGTGAAGGGATCTGTCCATAGTATCTCCAGAGGGGAGAGAGAATCCTGCAAGGCATTTCTCAGATCTTTGCTTGGCTCTGTTCTAGGTTCTGGTATAGGGATCAGTGCCAGATCTCTCATTCCACCTAATTGCTCAGTGGCTTTATCCTTGGAGGACTGATGGTTCATGTTATCTCTACTGGACCTTTTTTCAGTTTTAGAGATATGTTTAAGCTCAGTCTGGCTATGTGAGTCAGTGTCCTGTTTATGTCTGGGCATAGGTGCCAGCTTCAATGGCTGAAGTGCTAGCATAGGCACCAGAGCCATCAGTGTCAGAGCTGCTGATTCTGAGGTAGTTGGTGCTGAGGATGTTGATGCTGAGGTCTTGAGCGTCGGGACCTTCACTGATGTTGAAGTAATCAACGTCAACTTCACTGGTGCCAACTTTGTTGGTGTCTTCTGCCTTCTTTCCATCTAATCCCAGAGTGTGATGTGTTCTCAAACTAGTGCAGGCCGATGCTGGTTTATTTGGCCTCACTCTGGTTATAACTGTCACCTCTGGATCCCAAGTGACCCATGTAGACTGATCTAGAAGATGTAGCTTGAGCCAAGAATCCCTTAACCTATATATCCTGGAGGAACAGGACTTGTAATCAGAGCACCTGTCTGAGATGTCTCTCTCCTTTAGGCAAAAGAGATATTGGCTTTGTCCATTTTTGAGGGGGATAAGTCTGTTGAAGGGTGGGAAGAATTTGTGAGGTGTTGTGGTTGGCACAAAGCACTTCACCCTAATGTACAGTGGATGTAAAGGGGGATTGTAATGAGGTTCCCAATAACCACTAGTGTGCCTCCTTGTGTCTATACAGCTCTCACTGCATTGGGTGCCCCCTGCTGTTTGTTGCTCACTCTGCACCAGGTTCCAGCCCAGGGACCCTAAAACCAGCAATCCGGGTCTGCTCAGTCCCTGTCCCTGTTTCTCTTGGTTCCATCCTCTTTCTCTTGTCTGTCTCAGGGTTTACTATTGAAGCTTACACCACTCCCAATAGCTACTTCACTACCTTTTAGCTTCTTGCCAGATTCCTTACTCCTGGGCAGGATTCTAGGGCTAACTCCTCTGACTTCCTTCTGGCCCCTGACAACCTCTCTTCTCCCAGGAAGTGTTGGCAGACTCCTTCCCCAGCAGCTGCTTTCTGCTCTCAGCTTCTTTCCTTTAGAGTGTTGGCCCAACCCTTCCCCAGACAGATTTCATTCTCAATTAACCTTGGCTTTCCTTCTCTCAGGTAATACCAGGTGACCTACTTGACCTCTCAGACCCTCATTAACCCTATCAACACTGATGTGAGACATACACCACAGCACAGGGATCAGCAATCAAATTCTTTTCTTCTTTCTTTCTTAACGAACACCCTGTAGAACCAAGTATAAAGACAAGATTTCTTCACCAAGTTGGCCTGGGAAAATGGCTTAGGGTATCTAAAGAGAGAGTAGCAGATTGGCCATTCCCTGCATTCCATCTCACCGACACTGGGATTGTTAGCGGGAAGTGAGTTAGAGTCGCAGCCACTCTGTCTTTTACGTCCTCACGTGGGAGCATGAGGTGGCAAAGGAAGCATGTGTGGCCCCAATGGACACTGCTATTCAAAAGAATCTGAACACGCAGACATGAGGTGCATGCACACCTACAGTGGGATCCACACTGAGATATACTTGAAGAACTGTTACAATAGATACTGTACAGCTGTATTATTTACTGGAACTTATATTTTCTAATTCTGAGTACTGTCTTGTCAAGCATTTATTATGTGCACCACTCAGTGACTTCACACATGCACAAAGCTCAGAGAACAATTTGAAGACATATGGTAAAATGATTACTTTGCTGATCTGTGTCAAGAAAACCCACTTTCTACTTCTTATGAGGTCTGATTAATATCAGCTTGTTCATTCAAAATTTAATTTTCAAGAAAAAAATTTGTACTGGTCATAAAATGTCCAGCTCTGCTCTTAAAAATTATTGTAAAAATGGTACTGTAGAATTCTATTTTACTTTCTTTCATTCGATGATTTTCAATTAAAGTTCATTTGCATGCAGTGTTGTTGCAGCCTGTAGCCCAGACCTGAAAAAGAGGTCTGTGAAGCTCAAAATCTTGTCCCGTCCACGAATGGAAGTCAGTCCAATAAAAGATATTACCTCACCTTCCTTGTCTCTCTCAAACAACATCTGCTCAGCTTAGAGTAAACAAATATTCTGCTTCATAACGCTGACGCTGCATGTCTGCGTGGAAGGAAGCGTATATACTGCATGTGAGCCACAAAGCCATTGAGAAGCTAGTAACGTGACACTAAATTTCAGAGAGGGGTATTTTTTTAAATGAACACGCTAGTTAAAAAGATTCTAAAGTCAAAAGCGTATATATTAAAAAAACTGAGAATAGAATGGAGATCCTTAAGTATATGGTAACTGAGTTGCTTAGCCCATTAAAAAAGTAGAAGCAGGACAGTTAGAAAAACCCTTATGATTAAGGCTGTGAGTTTGTCACGGAGGTCACAGAAGTCACGGATTTCGTGACTTTCCGTGACCTCTGTGACTTTTGCAGCAGCCAGTGCACCTGGCTCAGAGGCAGCGCAGGCAGACCCTGCACCAGGCACACCACCGGCCGCTGCTCGGGTAGTCTCTGGCCCCCGTCCCCCCCTGCCAACCTGCCCCCAGCAGAAGAGTTTGGCTGTGGGAGGGGGCAGGGGGTTGGGTCACGTGACAGGGTAAGGTGGACTCTGGGCAGCACTTACCTGACTGCCTCCCAGCCAATGGGAGCTGCAGGGGTGGTGCCCTGGCTGGAGGCAGCATGCAGAGCTGCCTGGCCACGCCTCCACCTAGCAGCTGAACGAGGGGGATGTCACCGCTTCCAGAAATTCCCCCAGGTAAGCACCGCCCAGAGCCCACCTCACTCCTGCCCCCTCCCACACCCAAACTCCTGTTGCTTCCTGGGGGAGCGGGGAGATAGGTGTGGAGACAGGTAGGAAGCCTGCTGGCTCCGCCAACACCCACCCCCCCGCCCCAGCACCAGTGGGGGTCTTGGGCCGCACACCACCCCCACCCGTGCCCCCAGCCTGCCTTCCCCCAGCACCCGCAGGGCCCCTGGGTAGCGGCCCTCCCCCCACCAAGTTTTAGTCATCGGTATTTTTAGTAAAAGCCATGGACAGATCACAGACCATGAATTTTTGTTTACTACCCATGACCTGTCCATGTCTTTTACTAAAAATACCCATGATTATAACATAGCCTTACTTATGATTAAATCATAAGGCTGAAGGGGAAAATTTGAGACAAAAGTATCCTTCAACAAATGGAAATTAAGCCCAAGTACAACCAGCAGGAAGCTGCATAAACTGTGGTAGATACAAGTTAAAATGAAAATTCGCAGGACTAAGATGGAGTTTGAAGGACAAATTGCCAATAATCAAACAAATAATTTAATTGTATCAGAAGCAGAAAGCCTGCAAGAGGACCAGTGAGTTTGCTGAACTATCAGGGATTAACAAGAGCAATAGGATATTACAGAAAAGTTACATGATTCACTTGCATCAGCTTTCAACAGTGAGGATGTTTAGGAGACATCTATCCCAAAGCTACTCTTTTTAGGTAAATAAAAAACAGGTATTGTCAAAGAGTGAGATGTCAAAGGTAGTAGTGCTGGAACAAAATAGTAAATTAAAGAGCAACAAAGTCCCCTGCACCTAATGATATACATCCAGGAGTTCTGTAGGAATTAATTATTAAGTGATTCAATTTCTAACAAAAATATGCAAGCTCTAACTAAAATCACTTACTACAACAGAGGACTGGAAGGTAGCAAATGTCTTTGGAAGGTACCTGTCTTTAACAAAATGTCTTTTGAGGTAATCCAGGAATTACAGATCAATAAACCTTACTTCAGTCTCAGGTAAACTGGTTGAAAAAATCAGTAAAAAGAGAATTATGAAAAATCCAGAGGAGCATAAGATGATAGAAACAGCCTAGCACAACTTCTACTGAGGACAATTATCCCTCTTTAATGTATTCTTCAAGAGCACCATCAGAATAATGGATGAGGAGGAACCCACTGATAAAATGCATATTAGGACTTTCAAAATGCCTTTGAAAAAGCTCTCATAAAAGGCTCTTATGGAAAAAAGTAGTCAGGCGGTAAGTGTCAAAATACTGCCAAAGGCTAGAAACTGGCTAAGACAGAAAACAAAGAATAATACCACAGTGCCCCAGTGTTCCACACAAGGACAGGTGTTCTTTAATACACTTATTAATGATCTGGAAAAGGTGGTAACTAGTGAGGTGGCCAATTTGCAGATGACACCAAAATTATTTAGGATAGGCAAGACCTCAGAAGACTGTGATGAACTTTGCAGGGGCCTCATAAACCCAGGGGAAAGGGTAACATAATGGGAGATGATATTCTTTGTAGACAAATGCAAGAACTAAGTAGAACTATTGTAAGAACTAAGTAGAACTGCTCGTATACATTGCTGCATTCGAAATTAACTTTAACCACTTAGAAAGAAGACCTGAACATCACAGCTCAATAAAAACTCTCTGCTCAATGTACAGCAGTGGTAAGAAAAACAAAAATCATGTTAGGACACACAGAATCAGAAATAAAATAATACTGAAAATATTATACCACCATTCTGGAAGATGTCATTCTCATTGCTGTAAATTTACAGACCCCACAGAAAATACATGCCAGATTCTCTGCGAGCATAATTTTATTAATTTCAAAGGACCTTAGCTTGCAAAGAATTTGACCCCACAAATCTTGTTTGTATTCATTAGTTTAAAATATTAGTGGGAATTCAGTAAAATAAAAAGAAAATCTAAATAATCTGGAGAGTTATCTTACCATGGTAACTACTGGAGTTCTTTCTGTTGATGACAAGAAAACAGATAATTGCTTTTGTTGTTTATGTGATTCTTCAGTGCTCCTTTTGCCCTGAGAATTCCAAAGTACACAGAAGTGTTAGTCTTTAAAAAACTCTATTTCAGACTCTGAAAATTCCTTTGTAGTTTTAATTCACTTCAGTTCTGTTGGCATTAGAATCAATCCATTCAGTGTATACAAATACAAATAGTTATACATTGTCTCCTTCCAAGTTCCCCATTACAGTATAAACCTCTTGAAACCTAAACAAATACATGATATTAAGGTACTGTTAAGCCTATGATGTTCAGTGCTCCAAACTCAGCAAACGAAAAGCTAAGATGATGACAGCTTGGCCATATTCCTCATCCTTTATATTTTATAGCAAATACTTCACAAATATAAACATCAAACAGAAGTAACCATCCAAAAAGAGAAACAGGAATAGAAAACAGTGCAATGCAGCAAAGCTAAGTTTTTACTATGAGCACTTTAACTTTTAAAGTTCCTGGTGTTTAAGTGTTTAAATTTATAAACATATTGTTATACTAACAATATAAACAGTAATTTATTTGGTTTTCCTAAAAGAAAAAAAAGAGAAAAAAGAAAGTTAAAAGGAGGCCTTAAGTGTTCAAAGAACCTTTATTTATTTATTTCAATTCATGTTGTGATCTATCACCAATCTTTATGTGCACTCACAATAAAAATATTTTAAAACATTTACGTGAATAATAAGCTAAATTAACCTAAGAAAAATATGTTTGATTTCATATTACTTTGTGTTAAGCTGTTAGGACCTGATTCAGGGAAGCACACCGGCACATGCTTAAGTCCTACTGACTTCAAACGCCGCATGTATTATTCTAATGTCAGGCTCCATAAGTACAGCAGCTTAATGGTGACATCAATAGGACTTAAACACATGCTTCAGTGCTTTCCTGAAGCAGGGCCTTAATACATGCACCTTAGCTGCTCTAACTACAGAACTAAAAAAGCCTACATTATGGTAACACTTGTGGAGCTTGTAATGTCCATTTCCACAAGAACAAGGTTTGTAACATGTAACACTTACAACTGTGGCATGCATGGGTGCTTATAAACAACACAAGAGGTACAGTACAAAAGTAGCACCACCACAGGAGCAGGAAAGGAAAGACTGAGCAAAAAGACCATTTCCTGAGCCTGCCAACTTGTACTTACAGAATGTACTCAGGGCTACTACAGCAGAGATCGCAGTGGGACCATAAAAGGATAAAGGGTACTTTTCAAGATACTGACAGCATCTTTACTCACAGCTACAAACTTACATTTTTTGTGGAGAAAGGGGGAACAGGTTCAGGACTATGCAGTTTCCTCACCTGCACTCTTCTACTCACTACCCTATATCCACTCTCTCTCCTCTACTCCAATGACCCATTCACACACAAAGCCCACTCACCCCAGGTTGGGAATCTATGATATAAATTATGCTCCCCACTGGTTTTGTGATACCATATAAGTTCTGCCTATTGATACCTATTGCCTATTCTGCCTATATTCTTCCTATCCAATGGAAACCTTTATGTTATGCCAACTTGGTGTATTTAAAAGCTTTATGCACAAAAAATTAAATGCAGGAAATGGAAGAACAGGAACAGTGGAAACCATAATCATGAGCTACATTACTCCACGTAGAATAATAATTTTTTGACTACTGTAACAATTTTGTGACCAACACTGAAAGCTATGGCCTTGAGAACCAATGTAGCGTTTTGAAATGTTAACTGCAATTTTTTTTCTTTTTCAATCACTGTATTTCATTTATTATTTAATGCAGTGAGTTTAAGTATATTTTTATATAGGGGTTTACATAGATAAAGGTATCAATATTTTGTTATTAATCTCTCTTAATCAGTACACGAATGTGGAAAATACTAGCTATTTTTGAGAATGTCTTTTGTTAAAGGTGTAGTAATTGCCGGTGGGGGGGGGGGGGGGAGAAGAGGGTTAAGTTTTGTGTTCCATTAGGTTTTAGTAGCCGCTTTTAAAACTGAATAGAGGTGCCATGAAACACTGCTAACCACTGATTTTGGTGCACAGGCCTGGCTATATCCCCAAGAAACCTTAGTTTGCCACCCCCACCTCTGAGAAGAGACTGTTAGATCTACATTTTTCTATAATGAGTTCTAATGATAATGTATGTGAACTATTCAGCTTGCTTGATTAAGACCTAGGGGAACTAAGTTATTTGCATTTGACAAATACTGGAAAAAACTTTCCTACATCTAACATATTTAGTAATATATATTCTCTTCCTTCCCATATGATGATAATTCTGTTAAAGTAAGATGTCAGGGACCAATAATGGGGTCCTTAGGTAGTTGTACTTGATATATTTGATAATACAGAACTTAAGAGACAGAGTCACTCCATGAGTGAAGTATGTTAATTACTTGATCCTGCATGAGAAGCACTTATTTTGTTGTTTATGTTTAGTTTGACTTTTGAGATTTTTATATCTTTACTTGAATGCTGAAACCTAGGAATGCTGTACTTTTCCATTTATAAAAAAATTTTAGAACAAAAATTAAGAAAAAACACTTATTGTGCTGTTCATTGTAAAATAAGAATATTAGAAAATTACTGTAGTTCATCTTTTGTTTACTTGCCTCAGCCTAACTTTACTGTGTAAGATGCAGCCTTGAATGCAGTATTATTTATTGTCAGAAAGCAACGCTGAGTACCTTGTAATTCCAAAAACCTAACATTAATTTACCAACAACTAAACCATATGAATTGCTACATTGTTTCATGATTGGTTAATCTAGCTAAAAGCACTGTAATCCTACTGGATGTTTTCTAAAGAGACTAGAGTCCTCATTACTTTAATTGGGCATACAGTATATGTCTGTGAAAGATCACAGAGAACCAAACCATGGAGAACTGAATAGAGCTCCCAGCTCTCATGGAGAAAAACCATGTTTTAGATCTAAATTATTTTGATCCTGACCATGAATTTTGCAAAGAAGAAGAGCAGAAATAATGAAAATGTTACGAACTCAGGTCTGTGAAATAGTGGTTAATGTTAACCAACTCTCAAACACTGTTAGAATACTGAGCCTAAAAATTACTCTGTATATAGAAGAGGCCTGGCAGCAGCCTAACCAATAATACAACCCCAATAGAGGTGCAGAAGGGGCCCCTGTGAATGGTTGGGCAAGGAGATTGAAGGGGGATACTGAGACTCAGAGGCAGCCGGCTCCAGGCTAGAAAAGAGGATCCTGAGGGTTCCTATCTGCTCCTGGGATCATTACAGCCCTTCCTGGCTCCACTCCCTGTTCTCCAGCCTGACGTCAGGCACCACCACAGCTGCTCCAGCCCCTCTGGATCCTGTTCCCCCCCACTCCGGGGCTTTCATTAATTTATGCAGGCATGGAGCCCCCCACAATATTTCCACTGTGAGGGCACTAGCCCCTCTTGCCCTCTGGTTGTGCCACCTGAGAAAACCATATTTGAAATTTGCAGAAAGCGTTACTGTAAGTTAATCAAAAAACTATGAATTATTACAGGAACCTGTGAAGAAGGCAGAACATTCTTTAGCCTTCACAAAAGTTTAATTTTATTTTACAGAAACCTAGCCAGTGCTGGTGCACTTTATATAAATAAGAATTGAGAAGTAAGTGTGGAAGCAGGGGAAAGGACTGGGAAGAGACCCTGCTGTGGAGCACAGAACTGGACACTAGTGAAAAATCTTTGTGGGAACAAGATAAAACAAGAACAGATCAAAGAAAGGTACGAGGATGGATTGCAACATGAGCGTAAGGAGGACGCAGACCTCTCAAATGCAGTTTTATTCACAAGTGAGCCTGCGCACAGAACTATTTGTGAGCCATGCTTACTCAGCTTAGCTCTCTGTCCTTCTCTAGCGTCTAGACCAAACAGAATTTAATGTATCTTCTCAGCCTTTGAGCTAACAAGTGAGGGTTTTTCAGTTGAGGCAGCAAAGGCTCCAGTTTTAGATCTATAGGTCCAGGTTTCGATCCCTCTGTCAATGCCCCATGTAGGGATGTCAAAGAACATCTCCAAAATCGAAAAAAAAATTAGAGTGGACAGATAATGACTGGGAGCAACTCACTCATCAGCTAGCAGGTGAAAAGTAAAGTTTGCCTAAATAAGAAGTGTTCTTGACTGGATGAACTAAGCCACCCCTCCAGGGCATCTTGTGATTAACAGTGACCAGGGGAAGAAGAGAGAAAAGTTATCTATTTATTGTTCTACTGAAATTTTGTGTTTGCATGAAATATTTATTTTTATAACTTTTACTGTTCAAATAACATGTGTCAGAAATTGGAAGACCCTGGAAACTGATCCCCATTTAAGATAAGGCCCCTTTACTCTACCATGCAAAGTGTAAATTTATTTTATTTAAGGCTTCTTTTCTTGCCAGAGTGAGGTAAAGGGATTTTAGTGTAAATGACAGTGATGCCCCATGTGATCATCATTGCAGTAATTAAGGGTAATACAATAACCATGATAATTTATAAAAACAAGTTTTACCTGTACATAAATCCTAAGGTAAAAAATGGTATATCTGTCTAAACTCTTTGCACAAAGGTTGTGTGACTAGAGCACCTGTGAAAAAGTTAACAGTTAATCTATGTGCATTGCTTGTTTGTAATCAATGATTCAAAAGTCTCTTACACAAAACAGCATGCAAGTATATATTCCTAAACAGCATATGACTGGGGAAAACAATTGCTTGCAGAAATCTTATTTTGCAGTACTATCTGTTCAAGTCTTATTACTATTTGAGTCATCTTTGAAAGAACAAAAATGTACATCTTTTGTCCCAATGCTGAGTAGGAATATTGTTAACAATTATTACATATGTGCTATATTTCCAAATCATAAATCCTAGTGAGAAAGAAACAGAATTGTTAAATTATTTCAATATCTGATTGTTTGTGTTATTGCATGGCCAAATGGAAATTATCTGGGCAAATCTGTGTGATATGAAAGGATGATATCCTTAATGCCACCTCCACCCTTTAAAAATATCACCAAACTTGCCCGTTCTACTTGATGAATATTTATTATTTTAGCTTTGTTAATTAACTGGTACCCAGCTTGGTTCTAATTGGGAATTTGATAGTAGTCCTTGTCCATTTTAACAATTGTGTGCATATATGTGAGGGCAGAATTTTATCCTGAGTGCATTAGTTAGACTATATACCCAGATTAATCAGCATCAGGCCAAACTGCCATACCATGGTGAATATATGGCAGAATACAAAAAACGTGCCCATGCTACTTAACCTGGACTGAGAAAATTCTGACTAAGATGATAAAGCTAAGCATTTCAGTAACATAGCTACACAGCATTTTTAGAAACAAAGTGGGATCTTTGTGTTCCGATATGCATATCAAAATGTCTGAAGTGGTTTTTTTTTGTTTGTTTTTTATTGTTTTGTTTTTCCCCCCAGCTCACAGTTATTTCAGTAGAGTTGGAGTCCAAGTTCTGGGCAAATACTGAAAAGTTGAAACATGCATATATGGATCTATACTATACATGTATCTGTGTTTATTATTTAGTTCTCTTCTTCACAATATGTATTGCATTGCAAACTGGGACACTGGTCAGGGTGGGTCAGGGTTATGAGGGGAAGAAATTTTCCCCTAGGTCAAATTGGCAGTGACCTTGGAGTGCAGGATGGATTGACTTCCTCTACAATGTGTGGGTGCAGGTCACTTGCTAGGATTATCTGGGTATATCTCATTTAATCATTTCCCTGATTGCAGGGACCTCAAGCACTGGTGCACCTTGGTCCCTCCTATTCACTATCCGTGGTACATAATAATCTAATCTCCTGTGTCCCTCATTTACTTTGGCCTCCGTTCCATTGGGTTTGCGTGCAGGTGCTTGGTGGTGTCATTGGCCTGCAACATACAAGAGATCAGACTAGATGACCTGTTCGTGACAGCTTGTAGTCCATCTTTGTGTAGAATGTTGGTGTAGACGGCTTCTACATCCATAGTGGCTAGGATGGTGTTTTCAGGAAAATGGATTGTAGTTTCCTCAGGAAGTCAGTGGTGTCTCAAAGATAGCTGGGAGTGCTGGTAGCATAGGGCCTGAGGAGGTAGTCTACATAGCCAGACAATCCTTCTGTCAGGATGCCAATGCCTGAGATGATGGGGCGTCCAGGATTTCCAGGTTTATGGATCTTGGGTAGCAGATAGAATACCCCTGGTCAGAGTTCCAGGGGTGTGTCTGTGCTGATTTCTTCTTGTGCTTTTTCAGGGAGTTTCTTGAGCAAATGGTGTAGTTTCTTTTGGTAACCCTTAGTGGGATCAGAGGGTAATGGCCTGTAGAAAGTGGTGTTGGAGAGCTGCCAAGCAGCCTCTTGTTCATATTCCGACCTATTCATGATGACGACAGCACCTCCTTTGTCAGCCTTTTTGATTATGATGTCAGAATTGTTTCTGAGGCTGTGGATGGCATTGTGTTCTGTACGGCTGAGGTTATGGGGCAAGTGATGCTGCTTTTCCACAATTTCAGCCTGTGCACATCAGTGGAAGCACTCTATGTAGAAGTCCAGTCTGTTGTTTCGACCTTCAGGAGGAGTCCACCCAGAATGCTTCTCTTTGTAGTCTTGGTAGGAAGGTCTCTGTGGGTTAGTATGTTGTTCAGAGGTGTGTTGGAAATATTCCTTGAGTCAGATACGTTGAAAATAGGATTCTAGGTCACCACAGAACTGTATCATGTTCTTGGGGGCACAGCGGCAGAAGGAGAGGCCCCGAGACAGGACAGATTCTTCTGCTGGGCTAAGAGTATAGTTGGATAGATTAACAATATTGCCGGGTGGCTTAAAGGAACTACTGTTGTGGCCCCTTGTGGTACAAGCCTTAGGGAACAGTATCCCTGATAATGTCATGGCAAACCTGGTGGCTGAACTTTGTGACTTTGTCCTCACCCACAACTATTTCACATTTGGGGACAATGTATACCTTCAAATCAGCGGCACTGCTATGGGTACCCGCATGGCCCCACAGTATGCCAACATTTTTATGGCTGACTTAGAACAACGTTTCCTCAGCTCTCGTCCCCTAATGCCCCTACTCTACTTGCACAACACTGATGACATCTTCATCATCTGGACCCATGGAAAAGAAGCCCTTGAGGAATTCCACCATGATTTCAACAATTTCCATCCCACCATCAACCTCAGCCTGGACCAGTCCACACAAGAGATCCACTTCCTGGACACTACGGTGCTAATAAACAATGGTCACATAAACATCATCCTATACCAGAAACCTACTGACCGCTATGCCTACCTACATGCCTCCAGCTTTCATCCAGACCACACCACACGATCCATTGTCTACAGCCAAGCTCTACGATACAACCGCATTTGCTCCAACCCCTCAGACAGAGACAAACACCTACAAGATCTCTATCAAGCATTCTTACAACTACAATACACCTGCTGAAGTGAAGAAACAGATTCACAGAGCCGGAAGAGTACCCAGAAGTTACCTACTACAGAACAGGCCCAACAAAGAAAATAAGAGAACGCCACTAGCCATCTCCTTCAGCCCCCAACTAAAACCTCTCCAACGAATCATCAAGGATCTACATCCTATCCTGAAGGACGACCCATCACTCTCACAGATCTTGGGAGACAGGGCAGTCCTTGCTTACAGATAGCCCCCCAACCTGAAGCTAATACTCACCAGCAACCACACATGACACAACAGAACCACTAACCCAGAAACCTATCCTTGAAACAAAGCCTGTTGCCAACTGTGTCCACATATCTATTCAGGGGACACCATCATAGGGCCTAATCACATCAGCCACACTATCAGAGGCTCATTCACCTGCACATCTACCAATGTGATAGATGCCATCATGTGCCAGCAATGCCCCTCTGCCATGTACATTGGCCAAACTGGACAGTCTCTACATAAAAGAATAAACTGACACAAATCAGACGTCAAGAATTATAACATTCAAAAACCAGTCAGAGAACACTTCAATCTCTTTGGTCACTCGATTACAGACCTAAAAGTGGCAATTCTTCAACAAAAAAAATTCAGAAACAGACTCCAACGAGAGACTGCTGAATTGGAATTAATTTGCAAACTGGATACAATTAACTTAGGCTTGAATAAAGACTGGGAGTGGATGGGTCATTATACAAAGTAAAACTATTTCCCCATGTTTATTCTCCCTCTCCCCCCCCCCCCACTGTTCCTCAGACGTTCTTGTCAACTGCTGGAAATGGCCCACCTTGATTATCACTACAAAAGGTTTTTTTCCCCCCCCGCTCTCCTGCTGGTAATAGCTCACCTTACCCGATCACGCTCATTACAGTGTGTATGGTAACACCCATTGTTTCATGTTCTCTGTGTATATAAATCTCCCCACTGTGTTTTCCACTGATTGCATCCGATGAAGTGAGCTGTAGCTCACGAAAGCTTATGCTCAAATAAATTTGTTCGTCTCTAAGATGCCACAAGTACTCCTTTTCTTTTTGAAGACCAGAAGGGATAACATTTTTAAGAATGTACATTGTATTTCTAAACAATATTCATGAAACATTTCCAAAACCCTGAGGCTTTTTATTCTGACATACCAAGTCCCCAGGAACCTCTCTTTACCGTTTTTTAAAAAGTTAATAGCTTCAAGTTACCTGATAATCAGCTGGTCCAGGAGTACAGAAAGCTCCCCTCTTAAAAACATATAGAGGTCGAGGAGCTGAAGATCCAAATGCTCCTTTCTTTGTACTCTCCAAGTAAGCTTTTTTAAAATTCTCTTTTTCAATACTACACTTGAGAATATTATAGAAAGCTGGACCTGAAAAAGTCACAGTAGAGTAATGAGCCACCATCATAGTTCTGATTTTTTATCATAAATAGTAATTTAGAAATACATTATCTTTTAATATTCATTTTAAAAATGTTATGTTTTCATACTGTAGTGAATTGTCTCAACCAATGAAAGCACAGGGATGCCATACATTTACTGACCCATATCTGTGAAATTATCTGCCAGTTATACAAATGTATGGACCCTGTGGTCTGAGAGATTTTGATTTGCAAAATGATGAGTTATATTTCAGTAATATGTACAGTAATCACTCTTAAAAGCTTTTCCATTTTGCCTTGGATAACTAAATAACTACCTCAATTATTTAAGTTTAAAGTCCTGTTCAGCCATCCTTACACAGACTGAGTAGCATCTTACTCTGCAAGTAGCCCACTGGCCATGACAGCAGTTACCCAGGACAGACAGCACTGGTACTGCAGTATTGTTGATTTGGTGAAGAATGAGACAGCAGTTTAATAAGTGGGACTACTCAAAGAAAAAGGGACTACTCAACATGAGTAACGGTGGCAGAACAGAACATGGGGTGAAACTCATCCCTGGGCAAAGGGCCTGGACAAGGCCTATACACCACTTAAGTCCTCAAAATAGAACATTGCAAAAGGGTGAGCTGTACCCTCAGTAAACACCTAGGGAATGTGACACATTCTGGAATGTCATTAGATATTAGAAAACAAAAAATATGTTTAGTGACAGTTAAAATTACAGCAGAATGCACCCCATCAACCCAAAACCTTAAAAACTTGGAAATAAGAAGTTAAGGGGAATTACATGTGCATTCTTTTCCATCTTCATACTGCCTACAATGCTACTGATAATGCACTCTAATGCTCCATAAGGCTTTCACTTCCATCTCCAACAGAGACCAAAATTAATATATATCACAACTTCATCAAATTTACACTCAGTTTTGCAAAAAAAACATTTACAGTGACCTCATACACTTATACAATTATATCAACAGACAGCACATCTGACTGTCACACCTTCAATGTAGTAATCAATCACCTCCCAAAATACTCTACAGTGAGGGGGATAGAAGAGGGAGAGAATGGGGAGGGGAACCATATATTGGGAAAGTAATATTTTCAGGGGATGCTTTTTCAACACAGTAAGGGGTTTAAGAGACAATGAAGTGTGTTATGTCCATAATGGTCAATTTAAAGTTATTTTCCCTTTTTTTTTCTCTCTCTCTCTCACCCTTCTAAAAAGAAAATAATCTAAAACCCATCTGGATGCACACAGAAGGATTCACCAAAGTGTTGGGGAAGAGGGCTGTAAACAAAAGACAGACCCCTAAAGCATCCGTCATCAGTAGATACCATTTGCCCTGAATATGGACTTTGTGATACTCTAATTCAGGGGTCAGCAACCAATGTCACGCGTGCCGATTTTTAATGGCACACTGCTTCCTGCTGGCTCCCAGCCACCAGCCTCACTCAGCCCGCTGCCGAACCCAGGCCAGCAGTGGGCTGAGCAGGGCTGGTGGCCGGCACGCCGGCAGGCAACAGAGTGCCATTAAAAATCCTGCCTGCCCCGGCTCACTCTTCTCCGCCTCCCGCGGGGGCAGGGTGAAGAAGCTTGGTCCGCAGCTGCTGCTGCAGGGCAGGCAAGCTCCCCCCTCCCCCGCCTCTTCCCGCAGAGTGCTGGGTTCCTGCTGCTCCTCCTCTCCCTCCCTGCTGCCCATCAGCTCATGGCCCTTGCGAGGGAGGGGGAGCAGTGGAGCTGCAGCACGCTTGCTGCTCCAGGGAGGAGGCAGAGAAGAGGTGGGGACAGGACCTAGGGGAAGGGGGGTGGTATCAGGGCATATGGCCTCCAGCCCCCTGTCGTGAGCCGCTCTGGGCAAGGCGCTGGGAACACCCCCACGACCCTAGCCCACACCCCCAGCCCTCTTCCCTGACCCCTACACCCCCACACACACTCCGAGCCCCCTGCCCTGACCCCTGCACCCCCACACACACACTCCCAGCCCTCTGCCCTGACCCCTGCACCTCCCCACACCCCATGCCCTGACTCCTGCACTCTGCCTCACATGCCGCCAGCCCTCTGCCCTGACTCCTGCACCCCACGCACATACCCAGCCCCCCCACACCCCATGCCCTGACTCTTGTACCCCCCACATTCCCACCCCAACCCTGAGCACCAAAAGGGAGCTGCTGCACACACACCCACATTCCCACCTGCACCCCTTGCACCAAATGGAAGCTGCCCAGGTAAGCACTCCACACCCAAACCTCCTGCCCCAACCCTGAGCCCCCTCCCTCATTCTAGCTCTTGGCCAGGCCCTACATCCCAACCCCCAGCCTGCTTTTTCACCCCCAGCCCTGTGCTCAGTGCACTCCCACCCTCAGCTCAGTGCAGAGAGAGAGGAAGAGAATGGGCTAGAACCAGGGAGACGGTAGGTACCCACTTTATGTGGGCAGGGCCGGGATCCCAGACCGGCAGCAGGCTGACTGGCAACGGGCTGAGCCACTCAGTCCACTGCCCGTCTGGGGTCCCGGCCCCTGGCCCTGCTCAGCCCGCTGCCAGTCTGGGGTTCTGGCTGCCGGCCCCTTGCCAGCTGGGGTCCCGGCCGCAGGCCCCACTCAGCCTGCTGCCGGCCTAGGTGAACAGAACCCCAGGCTGGCAGCGGGCTGAGTGGGCCGGCGGCGTAAGATCAGCATTTTAATTTAATTTTAAATGAAGCTTCTTAAACATTTTGAAAACCTTGTTTACTTTACATACGACAATAGTTTAGTTATATAATATATAGACTTATAGAGAGAGACCTTCTAAAAAATGTTAAAATGTATTACTGGCACGCAAAACCTTAAATTAAAGTGAATAAATGAAGACTCGGCACACCACTTCTGAAAGGTTGCCAACCCCTGCTCTAATTCAAGCATTTTTTCTTCTAGGGCCCTGTAGTAAGTGGGGAGTGCATCACTGGGATAAATAGTTTTACCTGGCTATGTCCTTACCAGGCAGGAAGTAAAGAACATAAACCTCATTGGCAGTTGTTAAATTACTATATAACATCAGGCAGAACAACACTCTCCATGTTAAGATAGTTCATGTTGCATATTCTGCTGCTATGAAAAATCTACAGAGTCTATACTTCACACAGAGAATCCTTATTAAACAACAATACAAATTAAAAAAAATCCACTCCCCACAAATGCAATTCAAATTCCGTTTATTTTAGCTAGGATTTCTTTTAGATCAGTAAGCCCAACAGGTGCAAATAATATTGCCTACATTTATCACTTTGAACAGACAGTATAAAATTACCTGGAAACACCAAGCTAACAAAATCTTGAATGGAAGACTACATTTGTTTCCCTTTGGGCTCCTTCCAGATTTCAGTATAAATGAGAGTGCTGTTTGATATGTGTATTTTGCCTTAATGCCTACTGTATTTTAATAATACTTTTTAAGATTAATTGCTAACTTCCTAGAATATCAATCTGCCTAATATTGGGTCATGTAAACTAAATGCCAACAGTACTTGGATTAGTTGCAAACCTGGTGTTTTTTCGAGCCTGGAGTCCTGAGTGAACCGAACTGTAGTTTGACCAAATGGGATCTTTTTCATTCCTGATGGTTTCTTCAAGGATTCAAGAGCTGAGCGTGGTTCATTATATGTACCCGGAGCTGGGGTGATTGATTTCACATGTACAAATCTCTAGAGAGGCATAGGAAAAAATATGCCAATGACAACCTGCAGCACATTTAGAAACTATATGGGCAGAAAGTGCTCACATGAGTATAGCAACATATAGGGTCTCATTTCTTTCTTAATGAAGTGAAGATAATTTATATATAGTAACTAATATCTTGAATCTATCTGAATATATAGGACCTGATTTTCAAAGAAGGGAACAAGTGTAAATGTCATTTGTATGTTTACCAGTATTCAGCTTCTGTGTACCCACAGCCACAGTTTGCACAGATATGTACTCAGTCTGCACATGCACAAGTGGTATAGGTCCAGGTATTAACACATGCCCAGCTTCAAAAATCAGACTCCTCATATACAACTTTTATTATCATTGTCTGTACAATACATACTTTTTATATATATATACACATATATACATATACACACACACATATACACACACTCTCTCTCTCTCTAATATGGCTGTACTTGTGTGCGTGTGTATGAAGTAATTCAAATTAGTTATATATATAATACATATAATTTGTTATATATATAATTTATATATATAGTATATATAATTTGAATTACTTCATACACGCACACAAGGATAGATAGATAAAACTAATTTGAATTACTTCATACACACGCACACACATAAGTACAGCCATATTAGTAGTTAGTAAATACACAACACAAACAGAATGGGGAAGAAGAGGCCAAATATCTGGGCAAGTACACCATAATAGTTTCATAATCCTATATGAGGAGATACTTACTGTCCACAAAGAACACATAGGGGATTGCTTTTAAGTTCTCATCCAAAATATCTACAAATAGCAGACCATGTGGTGGTCAATTGATTTATCTTGGAGAGATTAAATCAAATTTGATGACTGAGCCAAGGGATTACTCCATTTTTCTCTACACTCACACCGAAAAAAACCCAATCAGCTAGTTCACAACTAACTTGAAATGAAAGTGTGAAGTAAACCTCAATGTGCAGGAATTTAAACGTGCAGGGAGGAATTTTCAAAAGGGCCTAAGTGACTTAGGACTTGTCCACATGACAAGTTACTACGCTGCAAGTCAGGATGTGAATCTACAGCACACCAACTTGCCCTGAAGCAATGATCCAGGTGGACACTGCTTCAGTTCAGTGAAAAGCATGAAGTGCCCTTAGATGCACAAGTCCCACTGAAAGTCAATGTGCTCCTAAGTCACCTATGTGTTTTTGAAAATCCTAACCACAATTCTAACTACTGTAATTAAAATCATACAGAAGAGAAGGTTACTTACCCTGTGCAGTAACGGAGGTTCTTCGAGATGTGTCCCCCTATGCGGTAGCACCTCCTGCACCTGGGATCAGAGATCTTCGGTAGCTGTGCCCGTTGGGCTGCACATGTGCTCCTCCCCATCTCACACCATGAGCAGTGTCTATATAGCACTGTGCAGTCCAACTGCCCTCAGTTCCTTCTCTACCACAGAGTCTATCTTTAAACTCCAAAGCAAAGAGGAGGCGGGTGGGTAGTGGAGCACCCATAGGAGCACACATAGGAGCACACATCTTAAAGAACCGCAGTTAGTGTACAAGGTGAGTAATCTTTTTTTTCTTCAAGCAGCGTCCCTATGGGTGCTCCACTATAGATGACTGTAGAGGAGGGCCCATAGATGGAAGGCCAGGGTTCAGAGTGACATCTACTAAGGCTGATAAGACAGTGCATCCTTGTAGGGCATCATGGGTAATTGCATTGTGTTGGCTAAAAAAAGTCTGTAAATGCCCAGGTGGCTGCTTGGCAAATGTCAGTAAATTGGCACGTTGCTCAGAAAAGCAATTGAGGTGGACAGCGAGCAAGTGGAATGTGTTCAAGTTCCAGGTGGGGGAGGTCACAGTTTGCGTCATTGCTAGCAAAGGCAGAGGAACTCCAAGATCCATTCAGAGAAACATTATTTGGATATGACCTTTGATCTCTCTGCAACAGAGAGGAATAAGTGTGGTGATTGTCTGAAAGATTTGGTTCTGTCACTGTGAAAGGCTAATGCTCATCTGACATCCAATGTGTGCAGCATGGCTTCATGCTGGTTGCCAAGTGGCTTTGGGAAGAAAGAAGGAAGGTGAATAGGATGGTTTACGTGAAAAGAGGATGGCATCTTGGGTAAGAATTTTGGGTGTGGTCATAACATGACCTTGTCTTTGTGAAAGACTGTGTACGGAGGGTATGCCATGAGAGCACCTATCTCCCCTACCTCTCAGGCGGACATGATGGTGACAAGAAATGCTGTCTTCATGGATACGTGGGTGTAGGAGCACATTGCCATGGGCTCAACTGGAGGGCCTTTGAGATAGTGCAGAACTAAGTTGGTATCCCAAGGTGGGGGTCACATATTTGAAGGTAAAGGTTTTGATGGCCCTTAAAGAATCTTTTTGTGATGGATGGATAAATATGGAATGACCTTCTATCTTGGGGTGGATTTCTTGTTCAATGTCAGGTGATCTAGAGATTGAAGACGACAGAGTTCGTCTTTGTGTCTGTTTCTACTACGTGAGCGATTTGGGACAGTTCGCCCTATATGCAGCCCTTGGGTCCCAATAGGGGCCAATGTGGAGGAACTGGCATATGGGGTTGTATCCATGGGGGTCCATACCAGGGACCTGGTTCAGTTCTGGTCATTGGGTATCGGAGATGACAGGATGGTTCTCTGTGTGTGTCTGCTCTTGATATGATGGAGAACTGTGTGCAGTGGAGTACTCCTCTCCTTCTTCCTCTTCTTCCTCACTCAAGAACAGTGGTCTGGTCCTCAGTTTGGAAGTAGAGTGCTGATGTGTCTCCGGAGAGTAGGCATGAGGTGCAGGGAACTCACTGTGAAGACGTGACGACACTGGCATATCAGAGACTATGATTCTCTGGGGTATCTGAATGCCTGTGGTACCAACAGGAGCATCATCAGCACCAGCAGTGGTATAGTTGTTGAGGGCATAGCCAGTGCCGATGGCGGAATGCATTCCTTTGAGTGGCCAATAGCTGGTGCCAAGGGCTTACGTGGTGCTGAGAGCTTGCGCAGTGCTGGATGTTTAGTCGGTGCCAAAACACTCAGGATTATTTTTGTTGAGGAGGTTGGTGCCAATTTTGAAAGTTTTACACTGTCTTTTGCAGTGCCATGAGACAGTATTTCCACCTGTAGTCCCTCCCTTTTAGGGTCCTTGGACCTGTCTTTTGCGCCAGTACCAGAGATGCCTGGACAGTCGCGGGAGCCAAGTCTCACCCCTGAGGACGCTGGGGCTACAGACCTTGCCAGGGATGCTTTTTTCTGAGGTCGCTCCTTAGAGAGTGAGCTAGTGGACCTTTTCTTTTCATCTCGGTGTAAAAGTGTGGATTTTCTCTTGGTAGTGCATGGCAAGTGAGGGTCGGCTGATGACTGCGCCAACGGTGAGTGCCACATAGGAGAGATATCGGGGACAAGGTCGGAGGCTGGTTGCACAGAGCTCTCCATTAGCCTCAGTTCACAGTTCTTTCTGTACCAGGCTTTCAAGTTGAGGAATTGGGTATACTTCTGAGAGATATGACCCTCACTGAGGCAGTGTATGCACTGTGAGTCACCATCGGTCATGGGGGTGGCCTCACGGCAAAAGAGGCATCTCTTAAATCCAGGGAATCCAGGCATAACCCGAGCAGGGAGAGTTTCCCAATTAGGAAGAGCATAGAAAAAAGGAAATTTTTACGCTTAGCTAAAGTGTAATAGGGAGGAAAGGGCAACGGGTTTTGGGTTTTTTTAGGGGGAAGAAAAATTAAAGGAAACAGCTGGTATCTACAATTAACTATAATGGAAACACTATTACTAAAGACTCGGGATGGTTGAAGGGCTCTGCTCAGGATTCCATCCCAGACCAAAGGCAGTTGAGAAGGAAGTGAAGACATTTGGACCACACAGCACTATATAGATGCCACTGATGGCAGAAGACAGGGAGAAGCGCACGTGCGGCCCAACAAGCACTTCTGTTGAAGATCTCCCAGGCACAGGAGGCACTACCAGACTGACTGTGGAGCACCCACAGGGACACTACGCGAAGAATAACAAATGTTCAACCATGGGTTCCTAAAGTTAGACAACCACATCCATATTTTGTCATCTAAATAAAAAAATGACCTAATTTTCAGAGCACTTTTCACCATTGCAAACCACTGACTTATTCAGGAGCTAATTATGCTCAACACCTCTGTAAATCAGGCAGTCTCTTTAGGTGCCTAAATATGGTTTGGCACCTAAATTTAGGCATCCAAGATGGCAAATTTTGGTAAAAGCATACCACTGAAAAATTATCCCTAAAATATGCAAAACATTAGAAATGTTCCTCTTGTAATAACAAATGTTTAACAATCTTCAAAAAAATAAACTTGCAGAACTATACAAGGTTATTTTCTGTATGATTTTAATAAATGTACTTTCTAGTTCATATATCTGATGGAACACAAAAAAGGAAACACAGGAAAACTGACTAAAGTCATATCTACTTATAAAGGTTCTGAAGACATACACCCCTTGAAACTTTGCTCTCATTTAGCCTTGATTTTTACATAAGTTCTTGATGCATTTGCATAACTTTATATTTTACAGATTACAATAAATATAGAAAACCCCATGCAGAAAAATCCTTATTATATATAAATTTTCAGAAAAGGAAAAGCCACTCTGATAGCCTGCTGAATTAAAGTCATTGTAGCAGCCTTCTTAAAAGAACTTCCATGAAGTTGTTTAAACTAAATGGATGGAGAGTTTATTTAGATTCCTCTGTCTTCTAGGACATCCGACAACATTTCTGGTGAGTAAAAATAAAAATTAGATGTATGACACGCATGGAACAGACCAACTGTGGCTTGCATAAGATGTTCTTTGAGGAAGTAAATATGAATGGAAGGAGAAGGTTCTGAATGACAGGAAAAGAAAAAAGGAAAGGAAATTACAAAAAAAAACCAAAAAAAAACATGACCATACATTATATATGATAAAAAAAATCATCAAATGATATACTTTGAATTTGCAAACTATAACTCCATATCAAAGTTTCACGCTTACAATTTATGGTGTCACCAGAATCTCTCAATGAAAATAGAGTGTCATAACTCATAGCTACCTCATTTCTTCTCAATACAGTGTAATAATCTTTCTTTTCCTCAGCAATTGACAGTTGTGGGGTTTTGGGATGGGTGGTAAATTGTGATTTAAGAGCTAACTCAGTCAGTTATTCAGCAGAGGTCTTTTGCATACTGTATATTTTGTATTAGCTCTGAGTTTTTCCTTACAATTTTAAGAGTCATATTCCAAAGAACTGAAATGTAGTAGACGACCACATAGTCATGAAATATAGCCCCTGATGTGCTAGTAGCTGTGAAATCTTAATTAGCAGTGGGAGTGTGGTTATATTCAATTATTCTACATATAGTCTTTATACATAGATCTAAGAGGCAGCTGTGAATAGAAGGACTATTATACTCCATCAAGGGGTTCTGGTGATATCATAAAGTATGGAAACAAATATCACAAAGTCTTTGTAATTGTTAGAATGCTGAGATGGACCCTTGTTTCATCAGACCCTTGTTTCATAAATTGTTTGTTATTTTGTATTGCAGGCAATGTTCCCTCTAATTTTTGACATGCCATGTGTGCAAAAAATTTCTTCTGTGCAAATTTTTGACAGGCCATGTGCACAAAAAATTTCTTCGGTGCAAATTGTTGTGCTTCTGTGCAAATTTTTGTGTGCGCGGTGTTTCGGGTCTGTGTGTATGCGCACACGAGCACAGCTTAGAGGGAGCAGTGATTGCAGGTGGTGCTCATAAAGAAGTATGGGCTGGATGGATGCACTACAAGGTGGGTAGAAAGTTGGCTAGATTGTCAGGCTCAACGGGTAGTGATCAACGGCTCCATGTCTAGTTGGTAGCCGGTATCTAGCGGAGTGCCCGAAGGGTCGGTCCTGGGGCCGGTTTTGTACAATATCTTCATTAATGATCTGGAGGATGGTGTGGATTGCACTCTCAGCAAGTTTGCGGATGACACTAAACTGGGAGGAGTGGTAGATACGCTGGAGGGCAGGGATAGGATACAGAGGGACCTAGACAAATTGGAGGATTGGGCCAAAAGAAATCTGATGAGGTTCAACAAGGACAAGTGCAGAGTCCTGCACTTAGGACGGAAGTATCCAATGCATCGCTACAGACTAGGGACCGAATGGCTAGGCAGCAGTTCTGCAGAGAAGGACCTAGGGGTGACAGTGGACGAGAAGCTGGATATGAGTCAACAGTGTGCCCTTGTTGCCAAAAAGGCCAATGGCATTTTGGGATGTATATGTAGGGGCATTGCCAGCAGATCAAGGGACGTGATCATTCCCCTCTATTCGACATTGGTGAGACCTCATCTAAAGTACTGTGTCCAGTTTTGGGCCCAATACTACAAGAAGGATGTGGAAAAATTGGAAAGAGTCCAGCGGAGAGCAACAAAAATGATTAGGGGACTGGAACACATGAGTTATGAGGAGAGGCTGAGGGAACTGGGATTGTTTAGTCTGTGGAAGAGAAGAATGAGGGGGGATTTGATAGCTGCTTTCAACTACCTGAAAGGGGGTTCCAAAGAGGATGGCTCTAGACTGTTCTCAATGGTAGCAGATGACAGAACGAGGAGTAATGGTCTCAAGTTGCAGTGGGGGAGGTTTAGGTTGGATATTAGGAAAAACTTTTTCACTAGGAGGGTGGTGAAACACTGGAATGCGTTACCTAGGGAGGTGGTGGAATCTCCTTCCTTAGATATTTTTAAGGTCAGGCTTGACAAAGCCCTGGCTGGGATGATTTAATTGGGGATTGGTCCTGCTTTGAGCAGAGGGTTGGACTAGATGACCTCCTGAGGTCCCTTCCAACCCTATTATTCTATGATTCTGTGATTCTTGTGGATTATGCAGCTAATAACGTTTTCAAGCGTTTTGAACAAGAAAGTAGAGAAGAAAGAAAAATATGCTATTGGCACTTACTTTCGACTGCGAAAGAAAAGGAGCACGTGGAACTTCATTTCCATTCTGTGTTATATTCTCCACCTTCTGAAACTGACTTTTTATTTCATATTGTCCAGGTCCTGGAACACCCTGAAGAACATAAAAATAGAAGCACTTAACATCCATTAGAGAAGTGCCCACAAGTATACTGAAGGTCAAGGGCCAACTAGTTAAATATCTGAACCAAACTCACCCTCTCTATGAAATTATGAACACTTCATTAAAAGACCAACCTAAAGGAACGGTTAACCAGCTAATAAAGAAAATAAGCAAAAATCTTGTGACAGTTTCCAAGATCCCAAAAAAAGATCCCCTGCAACTTTGCTGCTCTCTACTGACAGAGCTCAGTACTTCCGCCACAAACAGTACACAGCATATTTAAATAATTTAGAAAATGTTAAAGTATTTTGTGATTTTATTCTTCTTCCATTTAGAGGGATTTTTCTGGCATATTTATGAATCAAAGTTTTCTTTGTAAAGTTTTTTTTCCATTTCATTGTTTAATTTAACTATTTGATACTTAATATAATGTGTTTAAAAAAAGAAAATATTGCTCTCTTTGCACAAGGCTGCGTGTACTTAATGAGTATACGCTAGATGTAGGTAGTCCTTTTAGTAACCAATTACTAGTGATTCATTGACTAGCTCTTTGTGTGTCTTCCATTTTGCAATATAGAAAAGATTTTGCATCTGCAGTACTCATTTACATAATTACAACATAAATTTTAGTTAACTCAAGAGTCACAATACATTCTGAATTTCTAATAAAAGGAAGCAGGCCCGCTCGCTCTATAGGGACAAACAAGAACTAATTAAATGCAAGAAGCTTTAAATCAACTAAACATGGTACAAAAATATTACATGGCTAAAGAAGATAGAAAAATAACTCTGAAATTAATCAGTTACAGTGATGAAAGGGACATTGTGCTTCATAGTCTATATTTGGATTATAAATGATTCAAAGCAGAAAATTAAACAGTAACAATAAACACTTTATAAGAAAAATGTTGCACCAGTTGCCATAGCATATGTTAGCAAACCAGATGCTGGGGGAAAGAGCATTGCTTTTAATGTAAATTTATAAGGTTCAGGAAGAATGAAAAGTAACCACACACTTGCTCACATGCACGTGCACACATCCCAGTATGCCTTTTCTTTTTCCTTAACTTGGTTTCATCTTAAATAAATCTCTGAATTTGAGTAATCGTAATGAAAAATTATTAGATTTTTGCACTCTTCCAGCTAATCTATCCTAGATTTTTACATTTTACCTAGATTACTGAGATTGTAGTTTACAATTGTGAATTAATGGTGAATTTTAACATGCACTTTTCCCATCTATTTCATTTCTTCCAGTTCATAGCAAAATATCTCCAAAAAGTGGAAGCCAAACAACAGTAAGGACTAAATACTTTTTATCAGCTGTTTCCCCCTACCTTGTGAAACTGTTATTTGAAAGTAAAAATAGTTTTTAAAAAATGTGAAAGGCCTGCCTTGAAAGCAGTTTCTGAAAGGAAGAAACAAAGGACCTGATTTTCAAAAAATGTGACCTGTCCCTACTTTTGTACATGCATGTTTACTGTATGTGCGAGCACATATCAGTGATTTTGTACCAAAACATCATGGGAAGTGCACACACAAGTGAGCGTCTACTTTTTAAAACTCAAAATATTGGCAAAGAATGCCAGCGAACATTTACTACCCACTGTCACATGACATAATCCATGGAGCTAGTATGCACTACATGCTGGAACTCTCATAAGAAACATGCTCCCATGAAAGTGCGAAACACAGTCCTTCCATTCACTTAAGCTTCCATGGTGTTGAAAATGGCCAGCCTAGTTAACAGCAAATCCCAAGACTTGGTTGGCCACAAAGTCAGGATGCCCAAACAACTCTACCATTTGAACGCTTATTGGACAGACCTGAGTTGTGCAACAGGGGCTATTCAGGGAAGTTTGGCTCATGTTCTCACAGTTCTAAGAATAAAAACTGGTGGTTCTAAAAAGTAGACTAAAATATCTCTCATCAACATCAAAAAGCTGACTGCGAAACAGTACACTAAGAAGCTGACAAAAAATGCTGCAAGTCAACACCCACCGCATACAGATAGGTCTGAATACAGTAATCTCTGGAGGGTCTGGAGTTCGAACTTAAGTAACTGTATTATGCACACAAACATGTTTCTGCATTCTCTCAAAAAGGAGGCTTAGAACACCACCGTGACCACAAGCTTTCTATGGACCACGATAAAGAAAACTAGAATCTTAAGATGACTACACATAATTACAGGAGTAAGATGACTAAGCCTTCCCCTGATGAAAAAACATTTTATCAACTAGTCCACAACTCCAAGAGAGCTAAAATTACAACTTCTAGTTAAATCCAATTCTAATGTGTCCAGGCCTCCACACAGAAATTCATATGACACAGAAGCATGTCAAGTGCTTCAGAAGCTGCTGTAATTAAGGATGGGATAGGAACTCAGTTTCTGGTACTGGATTCAGAGCCATTTGCAGCAGATTAAGGAGGAAATATGCTTTGAATTTAGCTGGATAAGATCTCTCCAGCCGAGGCCTTCATCAGCCCTGATCCTGATCCTTTTTCTTAAAATGATCAATAAAAGGTAGTGGAAGAAATGTCATAACCCTTGTAAATTGTACCGGCTCAGAATGAGTGCTGCAAATGCAACTTTTCCTACAGCACCTAAAGATGTTAAGATCCATTTGGCTCCCAAAGCATAGTGTAAATTAAATAAAATAAATTCAGTTTTGTGAGAAACATCTACAGAAATGGAAATAATAACTGTATGGTTATTTTTGCTATATTTATCTTCTTTTTTGAAAAATCAGAAAAATGTGCTGCATTTACAGAGAATATTCCCAAGCAGCAGCAATATTACTGCTGAGGATATGGCCAGCACATCATGCTCATTCTTGTGTTACAACCACTGTTCCCTCTAAACTGTGCGTGTGTTAGCGCACACACAGATCCTAAACCCCATGCACACAGCCAAACACCGTGCGCACAAAAATTTGCACAGAAGCACACCAATTTGCATAGAAGAAAATTTTTGCACACATATCCTGTCAAAAATTTGCACAGAAGAAAGTTTTTGCGCACACGGCTTGTCAAAAATTAGAGGGAACATTGGTTACAACTATTTGCAAAAAGGAAAAGGCAGCACTCCCCTCCCCAGCAGAAGCCAACCCTCTATGGGAACATAAGCACAAATATGCAGCCAACCTCTGTCATGAGAAAATTATCTTATGCAATTATAGTAGCACCACAGAACTATTACTTAATTTTTGTAATTTCAGAGATGTTGTTTGATGGAGAATAAATTGTACAATGAGTCCCCACACTATGCAATTGTATCCAAAACCTTGATGTGATTCAAACTTACTCAGGAAAGCATCAGTTTAAATCATTGGATATTTTGCCTAAGTGGTACAGGATTGGGTAGAAAGACAGAACTTTCAGCAGCTAATAAGAAATCTCATTACAGGATGCTATTGTAAAGTTATGGATAAAGTTATATTTGTCCATACAACTGAATATTATGATAAATCAATCACATTTTTCTATATTTTAATAAACAATGACATATTTCAATATTATGAATTTTCCCTAACATCTGGCTAGCAAAGTTTGTTTACGCTACAAAAATGAATTTAACTTTTTTTTTTTAAATAGAAAAAATCTACAGGAAGTACAACATTCATTGCAGCAGGCAGGAATTAATTTTGTTCTGAGTAATTTGCTAAAAAAAGCTAGTTATTATTAAAAAAGCTTGACAGATTTTAGTTACAATTCTCTTACTTTTACCCAGTCATTAAAGTGATATTATTACACTATGATCTATCTCATGGAATCATTTGTCTTGAAACGGATTACTTAATATTTTATACAGTTTTCATCAGAATATTCTTCATTTCTGGGATGAATGTGTAAGAAACATATACAGAGGTGTAACAAGACAGGACACTTAAACAGCAAACTCATGTATATTTAAATATTCAATTAAGTTTATTGTAGCTTGTGCCAGTTAAATTCTCTACCTCAGTTCTATTCTGTAAGAGAAGCAAAATATTAAAGAAACACTGAAAATATTAGTTATAACTTTTTTAAATATTCACAGATATATATAAATGGAATTGTAACAGTGTATTTATTTTAAATGAAATCATAATAATAGTTTGCACATCTATAGCACCTTCCACCTGAGAATTTCTAAAAGTGCTGTAAAAGCATTAATGAAGTAAGTCTCACAATAACCTCATTTATATAATAATAAAGCAGCAGCCTCCCCATTTTACAGATGATGAAAACAGTAAACCTGTGGCAGAGCTAGGAATAAAACACATATCTCCAGTCTCCTACTTCTTTGCATTAGCCACAAGAACAGCCTTCATTTCCAGAAGACCTATACACACATGCTTACCTTTATCTACTGTAAGGAGTATCAGTGACGCATATACACTGAAGTTAATAAGTCTGGCCAGTTTCAGTGGAGGGCATAATTGAAACTAACTAGAGTTATGGCAGTTTCAGTATGCAGATGACAAACCTTCCAGGGTCCTCAGCTAAGTTTCCTGTAACATGTGCGGCTGTGCAGCAACCTATTTAGCACAGCTCAGGTGCTCAGGGGAACCCGCCTGGGGACCTGCCGTGGCTGAAGGAGGGGCGCTCCTTCCCCAGACGGCCCCCAACCTGCCACAGCTGAAGAGACCTCTGGCCCCAACTATGCCGCAGCCAGGGTGCCCCTACCCCAGCCCAAACCCAGCCAGGCGGCCCAGCTCAAACCCGGGGTGCCCAGTCCAGACCTGTTGCAGCTGGAGCACCCCTTTCCACACCCAGACAAGGCCCAGACCTGCGGGGGCCAGGGGAGGGGCACCTTTCCTGCAGCTCCAGCCCTGGAGCTGCTGCTGTGGAGAGAGGCAACTCTTCCCCCTAGCCCAGGTGCTGCTGTGGGGAGAGAGAGCTGCGGGGAGTCCTCTCTCCCCACCATAGCCCCAGAGCACCCTCCTGCACCCCAAACCCCTCATCCATGGCCCCATCCCAGAGCCCGCACCCTCAGCTGGAGCCTT